CTATGTATTGTATGTACTCTATAAGACAGGCACAAGTTATCTGTCACGTGGAGTTTTGGCGGGAACTTGACCGGTGGCGGTTTGCTGCTCCTGTATTATTGTTTAAAAAATGGTTTAAAGTGGACTTTAATATGTAAAAGTGGTGCTATTTTGTGTATTAAGTCTCTGCGCACTGTCTCCTTAGGCGCTTTGAGATACTATCGCCAACCGTCAGCTGTCTGCTGGCTTAAGTTGCCATAAAAATCTCCCAAGGGCTGCACAACGTGACGCATCAACATTGTTACGGCCCGCAGCTGTCCCTGCAAAGGTCGCCTTGGCTGGGGCCCATAGCAGCCTGCTCGACGGGCAGATGCGGGTCGGACCCAAATGGCCATATGGAAGAATGTCCTATTATACTAAACTGTAGGAAGAAGGCTAGAAAAATATAGTACGTACCTGTATCCGAAGCTAAGACCGCCCAAGGCTCGGTCAGGCCGTAGGTGGGTGTAAGGTACATGGAAAGTAGTGTTTAGTGCTGTGTATATGTCTGATGCCTGGCCCGGCTGAGGAGACCGGCAGCGGCCGATTTCCATGCTGCCCCACAATGCTGTATCACTCCAGCAGGCTCCCCCGCTGGACCATTTCTTTCTTCATGTCACTACTTCAGTCTATTAACTTCATTGTACATTTAACTAACTTAAACACGCCTAATTCCACATTCATCGTAGAATCGAACACGTGACACCCGACACAGTAACGGACAGTAGTTCAAAGTTTAACATTCAATGTCCCGGACTCATTTATCACCAAATGATGAATAGTGAACTAACGCGATCTCTTGCTAAGTCACACGGTTCAGCGTTACAAACACAACTAAATTCCTTCGTTCGATATCCAATACTACGCCGCGATAATAATTCAAAATGCGCCTCGTTGACACGCAAAACTGAAACAACAGTCAACACACAATAACGGGTACTTAACGCGACGGCACAATTACTTTCAAAGAAATAACTTTAATCAGTTAAACACAATACAAGCCTCTTGTCAAGAACTTAAACCCTAGACAACCTAAAACGAGGTGGTTTTCACGAAACACAATTACGTAGCGAAGTCACGCGCACAATTTCCAAAATTCTAGACCTTAATCCAAAAAAACGCTCTCGCGAAACTTCAGCGGCGGGGATTGAAAGACACCAATTAACTGCCCAGCCGCCGTCGAGCTACTATACTTCTCGCCCACGAGCGTCACACGCTGCGAAGCTGCCTACCGCTGCCCCCTCCCCGCGATGCGCGTGACACCTGGTACCATCGGGCGATTCACGAAGTCGAACGTGATTGGATGTCGTACAAATTACCTTTTTTGGGCCTAAAATAAACCCCCGTTCCGGACATAAGGATTTATGTCCGCGAGCAAACCGGCAAGTGGGACAGGGTCGCGACGGCACGTTGCAAGACCGAATCTACAACCAAAACTAGGCCACCTTAGGCACCCCATCAGATCTTGCAACCCTAGCCGCCGCCTCAAAAAGACAGCCCCAATGTGGGCAAGCCTGAAGGTCAACCTCCACTGGATGCCCCTCCTGGGCATCGCAGTACCTTAACAAGTCCTGTACTGGACAGAAGTCCGACGACCTCTTTCAAACACCTATCTGTGCCCCTATGATTCGTTCCGCAATCCGACCGGATCAGGTCTGCAAACAGTGACGTGACACGAAGCGACCCAGCGTGGTCTCCTAAGCTTCAGTGCAGAGAGTACCCACAAATTCCACATGAACGTTGTCTGTGGAGAGCCAAACGAAACACACAGATAGTCCCTAGTATGAATTTTCAAACAAGCAGGCATAACCAAGCCATCCACCATATAATCATTTACTCAATAGGGCGGCAGCTAATTTCAATCTGATAATCTCCAAACTAGCTAGCCTTTTAGACAAGTAGTCCTATGCTCATATTTCGACCAATTTCAAAAGCATCAATGTTCAACTACTGAATTAATTCAAACAAATTAAATTACCGATGCGCATAGATCAAACTGACAAATTAAACAAAACGATAAACGTATGAGACAGCCCTATTTCTCTTTCCAAATAAATATCTTAGACAGTGCCAACAAAATGTGAAAACCAAAAGAAGAATGACTCTTATTCCTTTCGGCACAAATAGGGTTATCCAATTTCAATTTTCTTTTCAACAAAACACAATGATCAAACACAATCACAAAAACATACGCACAAGCATTCAAAGGGCAAATCATTCAATTTCAATTTTCCTTTCAACAAACAAACACAATGATCAAATACAATTACAGAAACATATGTACAAGTATTCAAAGAGCACACTAAATTCGCCTTCTTAATCACAACCGCCACAAATATGAAAACATTTCGCGGAAAACCCAAAGCATTTTTATTTTTTATTTAAAGAATTTTTAACTAAGTGCTCGACCAAAACTAAACCTAATAATAAATAAAATAAAATAAAAATAAAAACAAAATTAAAAATAAAAATAATAATAAAAATGTTTTAATTTTCAGGCATCGTAGGCCCATAACGTGTTAGTAATAGAAAATGAAACTAAAGAACTAATGTTAATAAATAAAACAAGACAAATATATGAAAAATTTGGGGGTTTTATCAAGCTCCATTTAATAAATGTAGCTTAGCAAACCTACCCAATGTCAAGCCATCTGACCGTTCCGCAAAGACCCTCAAGACACTATTCGAGCTTTTCCTCACTCTGTACATCAATGACCCCACTTTTTACGCATGATCGCAAAGTAATCATCAGTATGGGCATCGGCGAACATGCCTGATGCACTACAATAAGGTGGAAGCCCCAACAGCAACCTGAAGGGATTGTTATATTGGATACGCAGGGTATTTCCTGCGCTTTGGGTATGATTGGCCCAAAGGCTGCTGGTGTAAAATGATTGGCAGAAAGCCTTGAACAGTGTAATTTTAACTGGTACAGAGCAAGCAGCAAACCTTCGAGCCACCATGTTACCTCTCACAGCTAGCGCCCTGCGTTCCTTTTCGATATCTAGGTCATCCTTTAAGTCTTCTGTCACAATATGACCCAGATATTTAAATTGGGTTACTCTCTGTGAAAGTGAACCGTTAAGCTTTACTGGAGTGACATATGTTGGACTTTTATTTCTACCTCTGAAAACCAACAGTTCACTTTTATCAGCATTATATTTCAATCCATGTTGATCAGCATAATCCTCAAAAATGGCAAGCAACTTTCGCATTCCACATATTGACGGGCTCAGCAGCACCATATCGTCTGCGTAGCTCAAGTTGTTTAGACTTACTCCGTCTATATGGCAACCAATGTGTGCTGCTAAGCTCGTCAATCAGCTTATTAATGTAGATATTAAAAAGCTTCGGAGAGGTAAGACCTCCCTGCCTCACACCGCACTCAAGTTTATAAGGGTCAGACAAAAATAGCTGAGCGCCCCCGCCCGTGAGAGTCGAGGGCTCGGGAGAGCCCTGAGAGGAAACGCCGTTCGCACCCAGACACAAAACGGCATGGTGATAGCCCTGGCAGCGCAATGACATCACTTCTAAATATAAATTACTACGCGGCTCAAATACAAATTAATTAACAAATAACAAATATAATTCCTATCAAATCAAGTTAAATACAAATTACACAAATACGAATTACTAATTATTAAATTAAATAAAAATTACAATACAAATAAAGATACACACCACAGTCGATCTACAAAAAATGCCTCGCTCAGACAACCGACCCTTCGACAATTAATCTACTATAATTATACGAAAACGATAATTATCCGATTACGTGATAATAACCATCTACCTACCCGACGCATACCTAGCCCTAACAAACTCCCGCTTGCACAACTCAACGGGCGTGGCTTTCGATTCAACCCGCGAACAAATAAAAAAGCAAGCAACAAAGGAAAAGAATTTTATTATTAAGTATTACGGCCGGGCGTGATTGTAGACACAAATTAAACCAATCCAAACACGCTCCCTGCTACCAAAAATGTTACGGCCCGCAGCGGCCCCTGCAAACGTCGTCTTGGCATAGCCATAGCAGCTTCCTCGACGGGCAGACGCGGGTCGGGCCCAATGGCCATATGGAAGAATGTCCTATCATACTAAACTGAAGGGAGAAGGCTCAGTAGAATCGAACACGTGACACCCGACACAGTAACGGACAGTAATTCAAAGTTCAACATTCAATATCCCGGATTTATTTATGACCATATCATATTATGACGAATAGTGAACTAACGCGATCTCTTGCTAAGTGACACGGTTCAGCGTTACAATCACAACTAAATTCCTTCGTTCGATATCCAATACTACGCCGCGATAAGAATTCAAAATACGCCTCGCTGACACGTAAAACTAACAAAACAGTCAACACACAAAAAAGGGTACTTAACGCGACGGCACAATTACTTTCAAAGAAGTTACTTTAATCAGTTAAACACAATACAAGCCTCTTGTCAAGAACTTAAACCCTAGACAACCTAAAACGAGGCGGTTTCCACGAAACACAATTACGTAGCGAAGTCACGCGCACAATTTCCAAAATTCTAGACCCTAATCCAAAAAAAACGGTCTCGCGAAACCTCAACGGCGGACATCGAAAGACACCAATTAACTGCCCAGCCGCCGTCGAGCTACTATACTTCTCGCCAACGAAGCTGCCTACCGCTGCCCCCTCCCAGCGATGCGCGTGATTGGATGTCGTACAAATTACCTTTTTTGGGCCTAAACAAACATATTGTGAAGTAGTGTACTATGAAGGATAATTATAATATATTTTAACTTCAGGCTCAGAAGGGCTAGATTCCAGAGCTAGGAAGCCAGTTATTAAAAAAATCTGTCACGTACGACACTGACATTGGCATTTGATATATGTTAGTAGAAATGTCATTTTCGATTTCGCCTGACAATACCACCCAGACAGATATATTTTACATTTACAAATCATTTAATTGTGTTTCTTTTATACATCTAAATTTTCTATAACAATGATGTCGGCAGACAACTCGCCGATTAGGCTTTCAAAATCTTTCAATAATGTACAATCCGTCGAAGATTTTGAAAATCAGGTAAAGGTTTGTTGCTAACATAGTTTTCTATCATCACTGAATAACAAAACATTTTCTTACTCGATTAAATTTTAGGATACATTAATGAAACATGTGGATATATCTATAGTGGAGTCAGAGAAACGAGCTAATGGGACCCTGCATGTACGCGATCATTACACGGTGTATCTAATTGACCTAAAGTAAGATGTTATTTCATTGTTAATATAGTGCAATTAGCGTTAATTACCCGAGTTCAAAAAACGAGGAGGTTTTTTATTCGACACATGTTTTTATATGTTTAGTTATCGATTTCTTGGAAATGACTGAACTAATTTAAATCAATTATTCTTACTCAAATATGTAAAAATAATATACTTCAGGGGTTTTCCCATAAAATTTGAGGAAAAATGTGGGTGGAGAGGCGGTATTGTGGGTAGAAAAACAGGGAATAAGATTTTTAATGTAACTATTTGTTCTTAGTCAAATCAAAAGTTTAAAAAAATCTCTCTTTAGTTTTGAAGTTGGCTTTTACTTTTAATAAAAGTTTAATTTTTTAAATACATATTTGTTAAAGTATATTGAGAGCACCTATACAAATTTATTAGAAGATTCATAGTGATTGATATAGATACATACATAATTTGAGTAAGTATTTATTATGTTAATATTGTTTATAATTAGTTATTATGTTAATTAATAAATTCATATATGAGTTTATATATAACATCTTTTACCAGTATTTAGTTGATTCTCAAGAACATAAAATACAACCTAAAATGTGATGTAACATTAACATTGTGCTATAACAGTGTAGGTATTCTATTACAAAATTAATAATACCCTCCAGACATTTCAGTCACAGAGACTAGACATTTGCACAGCCCAGGATAATATTGCCCAAGTGTATGCCCAAGCATAGGTGCACTCTCTATTCCCATACACTCTCTCTTTAGTCTATTTGGATGGAAAACCAGCCCTACAGGTGAGAGAGATTAGTTGCAGTACCAAATTTTTTACATGCTTTCCGAAGCATGGCCTATTTCCTAACTGGGTAACTACTGAGACTTTCTTGTCTGTAAAACTTAATGACTCATTGATCTCAAAAACTTAAAGGCTCCTTGTAGATTACCTCATAGTGGAAATATTTGCCATAATTGCCAGGTTCGGCAGGTGGCTTGGAAACTGCAGTTTTTTATTAATCTGTTATTAGGAAGATAATGCTTTCCATCTCTTGATTTGTTTCCCTTTGTTGCCTCTTATGATACCCATGGGAAGATATGGGGTAGTGAATATCCTTAAACTACAACTCCTTTTTTTTTATAGGATAGGGTGACAAACAAGCACACTGTCGACCTGCTGGTAAGTGGTTATTGTGACCCATAGGCATCTACATTTATCCACAATAAAAAATTTAAATGCAGATGCATTGTCACCCGCGAGGACTAAGGTGGAATGGCTATTTCCAGTAAAAAGGTTCTCCAGTTCTCTACACTCACCATACGAAACACAGTAGTGTTAAGCTGCAACTTTATGCTAGTATGCTGTGAGAGTGTGGTACTTCCCTGGTTGAGCCGACCCATTCATGCTACAACTATGCTACTAATACAGTTGCAGCATTGCCTACCACATATAACTATATTTACATAAAAACATATCTGATCTTGATAATATGTTTATTTTCAGAGTAACAGATACCGATTTCAAATTAGTACAATCTAAAATAAATACTATTTGGAGAAGATATACAGAGTTTGAACAGATACATGATTATCTTCAAGTCACATATCCTCATGTTGTGATACCACCATTACCAGAAAAACGGGTAAGGTATCTTTATAATTTTTTTTTTATAAAATAAAGGGTGACAAACAAGCATACATAACGATAGATGGTAAGTAGATGCTTTGGTCCATAGACACGTATTTTAAGGATAAAAATGTAGATGCATTGTCACCACTGAAAGTTATGTAGAGTCCCCATTGCTAAAAAGTCTCCAGTTCTATACAAACATAAAAAACATAGGTATTATGTTGCTATTTCAATGTTGTCGTTTTTGGCAGCTAGCTTAAAAGGTCTCACTCATTGCAAAAGCTTGATTCTTAAAAGGGTTTCCAGATCTCATTGCAAGAGTTAGGAAAATTAAAATCTTGTGATTATCTTTTTTTTTACTGTGATTACAAATCTTTACTTATCCGCTTTTTTTCTGATGTTAAGCTGAATAAACCTTGTGTTAAATTGATACACAACTGCCTCATTATTAAAGAAAATATACACACAATGGATTTAACTGACTGTGTTGAAAAAAAATGTTATACTAAGGAAAAATAATCTCAGTACACTGCTCACATGGATAGTATAGGTATAGATTAACAATGGAGTGATTAGGGCGAGATCAAAATCAAAATACACCAATGTGAGTGTAATGTGCATGTGTGCGTGACAAATAGTGCTGCACCATGCATTGCCTGCCCCAAATATAATTATCAATCTAGTTAGTTACTAAATCTATGACTGCTTAGGAATGTGCTAACTTGAATCTCATTTATTTGGTATGCAGATGCAATGATAGTGCTACAGAGAGAATTTATCGTGAGGGAATTCCAAACTCAGCATTATTATATAGTGTTTATGTATGAAAACAGGCCACTCTCAGGGGTTCGATTTTCAAATCAAACAACTAGTAAAAAAAGTACCTTTACATGCTCTACAAAGATAGTTGATAGAGATAGTAAGAAGGTAGATAGATAGTTACAAGAAATTGCATCACATCCAAGTTTCTATAGTATAGTCTATAGGAGTCCCCAAAATACAGTACACCAAATTTTAAATAAATTTAAGTTTCACCTGTACTATGTACAACTTAATATGAACTTTATTACCACAACTGAAAGAGTTGCATTTTGTCAAACAATGTTGAAAGCTTGTAGGAAGATCCACAAGTTTTGGAAAAATTCTATGAATCAACATTCAAAATGGATGGATACATGAACCTCCTCAATTTGCTCGACTAACATGTGGATATTAAACATAATATGGAAAAAGTATCACTTTTTGACATCCAAATAAAATTAAAGATTTTTTTTATTAACAGAAAAATAGTAAAATGTTATAAACAGCCATAGATAGCTTCTTCTCTACTATACTCGTAATTACAGACTGTGGGGCTTTCCATCTTAGCCCTCAGATTTGACACCTGTAGCCTTAAAGTTGACAAAAAATTACTTTGCGTGCACTATCCCCGTCACCACTAATCCCAGCACCACTACTCCCAACACCACTACGCTAGGAAAGACACACTACTGACGACAATACGACACGTTTTTCGCCTCTATACGAGGCATCCTCAAGTGATATAAGACTCTACGGTGGCTAACCGCTAAGTAATATTTTTTGTCAACTTTAATATGATGGACTTCCGCAAAGTAACGCCTGATTCTATTAACTATTAACCTGTAGCCTTCTTCATTTTAACACTTTCACTGTCCCGTGATCCACATAATATTATTCATTGTTATTGTCTTACTATTGTGTCTGTAATCCGGACAGTGAAAGTGGTTAGTTTGGTGCAGGTGTCCAGGGGCTGCAGTAGACACTTACCATCAGGTGGACTGTTTATTGTAAATTCAAATTATATGAGTATATCGTTAGTTATTTTCTTAATGATGGTGTCAATTTGACATTTAATTGTAGCATGAGAGAAGCCATTACCCCATATTATAATCCTATGACTGTATGGAGACGACAGACGGAATTTTTTTTTTTTTAAAAACGTTACCCCCTCACTAGGATTTTCTCCTGTATCGTGGAGGCAGTTTACAAACATAAATTGCACAAGGACAAACATCCAGACCCGGAACAATTATTTGTAGGCCATACAAATACTTGTTCCGTGCGGGATTCGAACCCACGGTCCCCAGCGCAGCAACTCATTGCTAAGCCACTGCGCCACGGAGCCGTCAGGAAATGAAACAAGAAATGGGGCAGCAGCTTCCATCTTCTCATCTCATCATCTAGCATCTTCCTAATAGTAGCTCAAAATAATAAAAAACCTGCTGTTGCCAAGCGTGGCAATTATGGCAAATATTCAACCTATGAAGTGATGTATGAGGGAAGCCTATACTCAACAGTGGATTTTTGATAGACTGCAGTGGATTGAATGGATGGTGTCAAATACCCAATTGAACTATTTATATAACATTGATCACTTTTCAGGTACTGTATGCATGGCGTAAATCAGACACAACTGATCCTGAATTTATAGAAAGAAGGCGTGCAGGACTTGAGAATTTCCTACTTCGAGTGGCCTCACATCCCAGATTATGCTTCGATGACCAATTTATTAATTTCTTGCAACAGGAACATGGCTGGCGAGAGACTATCACAGACAGTGGTATTTATCTTATACAACTTATGCACATTCAAACTTATAGCAAACATGCCCCACTTTAAGTATAAATAAATATACCGCATCTAACATTACCTACATAATAACAAGTATAATATTTTTTTATTATCATTCTCTGTATTATAATTTATAATCTGGGGCTTCTACAGTTTCTATGGCGCCACTATTTGAAGACGGATTGGCATAGATCTCGATGAGATACGCCGAAAAGTAAGAATAAAATTTTTCGATATCTCGCTTAGTTTCCGAGATATCGATACTCAAAAATCGAATACTAAAACGACCCGCTCCACGTAGTCTTGTCTGCCCTACCCCTAGAGAGTTTTTGTAAAGCCATGGGCGCATAGGGAGAGCAGCTCACACTCGCTGTAGTATCTCGTCAATATCTATGCGAATCGTGGCGCTGTAAGAACCGTAATCGTGCCTATAATCTCGACGCATTTTTGCCATATCTACCACTTTGTAAAAGGAAGCTACTTCTTAACGTGTTTAAACTTCAAAGTTACAACTTATCAAAGTCCACTGCTGATTATAGGTCTCCTCCATGTATTCCTCGTTGCCACACTTGGCAGGCGGTTTAACCTTCAACTGTGTTCAATTCAATGTTGTCATATATGTTTTATATGTAGCTTCATCTTAGTCCTCAGAGGCGACAACACATCTGCATTTCGCTTCTTAATTGCGGATAAATGATAAATTTAGATGTCTGTGGGTCATAGCATCCACTTACCATCAGGTTGACTGTGTACTTGTTTATCACCCGTATTCTATATATAAAAATTATTTGAAACCAATGCTAAGAACCTACATTATTCTTATTAGTAACTTTTTATTTTTCAGGGTACTTACTACAAGCCGAAAACAAACTGAAATCATTGTCTGTATCAATAACATTGAAAAAACCAGATCCTGAAATTGAAAGTGTCAAAAATTATGGAAAGCAGTTGGAAACAAACTTAGGAAACTTCTTGTATACTAGGTAATAGCCCTGGTGGTGATAAATTATTCTGTTATTGCCATATTAAAACTGTTACTTAAATGTTTATACATACACATAAGCTACTAAAGTAAACTAAGCTCCTAGATAGAGAGGGAACCCTAATACATACTTAGTAAAATTATATAGGTACATTACTTCACCACCGCAAAAGCTGTCATGAAATTAAATTAATTGGAACGAAGTTTCTTATCGCACGGTACAAATTTGGCGGATGGAGGCTAGGCGAGAAAAAGGTGTAAGATTTTTCCGACACGACCCTTTCTATAGTGCGAGCGAGGTGGAATAATTTCCATCTCCATCGCACTTTTTCTTATCTTACCATGAAATAAATATTATTTTATTTTTAAATGACGCTTCATTTTAATAGATGCTTGTAATTCATTTATTTGTATTTGTTAATCAATAATATAATACGTTTACCAATAATAATATCACAGTATAATAAACATACAGTAGGACGACGCCTTTGATCTCGTGGTAAATGCCGACAACGTCTAGACAGCGTATGAAAGTTAGGGTTGTCACAAATTAACAACTTTTACTAATTTAATTATTTATTTTAGATCTACATCGTCATCAACAGTATGATTACTAATATAAAAAATAAGTAACAATTTATTCTAGATTTTCCTGAACGCCTCACAACGTGAGGGAGTTTGAATTATTAGTTTATTTTTAATGGATTTTTTAGGCTTTCGAAAGTTCTTCCAACTAAATCAGGTCTTCCAATAACTTCCATCCATAATTTGCATCTGAAATTTGTAAATACAATACTTATTAATAAATTTTCATAATTATCACTCCCAGAAACCTTAAAATTGACATCCATATTGTATTATTAAAAAAAAAACCACCATCTTGGATATGAAAATTGATGCCGTTTTCGTAATTGGCACCCCAAAAAACCTCGAAATCGACATCCATAACATTAAAAAAAAATTATGTCCATCATCTTGGATTTAAAAATGAATTCCATTTTCGTAATCAGCATCACAAGAAACCTCGAAATTGATACCCATATCATATTATTAAAAAAATGTCCGCCATCTTGGATATGAAAATGGATGCATTTTCGTAATCATCACCCCAATAAACCTCGAAATTGACATCCATATCATACATATATTAAAAAATGACCGCCATCTTGGATTTAAAAATAAATGCTATTTTCGTAATTAGCACCCCAACAAACCTAAAAATTGACCCCTAAATCTTAATATTTTATCAAAAACCTTCAAAAAACCGAAGACGAAGCACTATAGTATGGTCTAAAACCTTAGCCTGTCCAACCACACGATTTAGATGAAGAAAAAAATCAACTTCGAGCAGTAATGCCCAGCGACTAGTACCTATTTTTTACGTCCGCCATTTTTTTTACGTTGGCAATTTGGCATGACATGACAAAATATACATAATGTAAAAAATAATAACAATATTTATTTACCTTTCTTCCGTGTGCGGGATTTGGTGAAATCGCAGATTTTTATTTATGCGAGATGACGACGACACAGCACACGTCGTATGAATCATTTTAATTTTAAGTATCAACGCTAAATTTAAAAATTATAAAACCAAACTAGAGTTAACCCTGGAAGTCGTGTCCCGAGCTACTAATACGATTGGCATGAGCAGCTCGGGCTCGTATTTCCCGCGTCTCATACCCCGCACGATTCGAGTCTTCGTCTAGACGTCTTCTTCGGACGACTGTATGGATTTATAGACTGATAATATACTACGAATGGAACTTCGTTCCAACCGAGTGTTCCACGATACTCACGCATGTTTTTTTTTATTTAATAAATATTTATTTCTTCGACGTAATAAAATAAAATTTTGTTTATCAAATGTCATCCATTCATTCATTACAGCCTATTAAAATTCCACTGGTAAACATTGAATAACTTCATAGAGGATTTTCATCCATAGTTGCCATGTTTGATTGCCAGGTTGCCAAACGCAGTTTTTTATTATTTGTAGTTGTTATCAGGAAATGCTGCCCATCTCATCTTTCAGTGTCCCTCTGTCGCCTCTTACGACACCCAAGGGATGATATGGGCTAGTGGATTCTATCACATCGTCACTATATGTTATTGTCAAATGTTACTTTTTTCAAATGTATAAATTAATATAACAATAGCATAGTATATATGGAATGAAAAACTTAACAGGCCCATCAGTACCTAACTAAAGCATGTTCTACGATGTACTCTTTAGTAACTTATCAATAATAAGTGACACCGAGTGGACCAGACCTCTCAAGCAGCATCTGATCTCAAGTATGAGGCATGTGATAGCCATTTTATCATATCATTAAAGGTCGCGCTTTATCATTACAGGTCTAAAATAATAGAGAAAAACTATGCGCTATGCAAACTTCACGCCAACTACGGCAAATTATTTAGCGAGTGGAGTGTTATTGAGAAGGAAATGGGCGACGGCTTACAGAAGGCCGGCCATTACTTTGGTTGGTATTGCTTATCTCTCGTTTTCTCTACGAAAATCTAGAACTTTTTGAAATGCTAAAATTCTTTCCTTCTTTGTCCGCCGAGCTTGCCCAATGCGTGTTGGCGAACTTCACATGTCTTCGAAATATGTTTTTTTCTTATTTCTCAGACATGCATGTTTCCTCGCGATGTTTTCCTTTAACGCCGAGCACTTGGTAAATCAGCGCTTAAAATTACAATCAACAATTTAATCAGTTCCGGCGGGGATCGAACACGAGCTGTGAAGTTTACAGCGAGCGCTTAACCCCTGACCTATAACGGGTTTTCCTTGCCCTAAAACCCTCTCAGAAATGAGAGGCAGCCTGTGCCTAGCAGTCGGACGTATATAGACTGTAATTGAATGGAAGATCTATTCTCGCAAAAAGTACTAGAAATAGCAAGATAATACTGATATGTGATGAGAGCCAGTGATCTCTTTTACTGGTAATGAGGCATTCCATCTTAATTCTTAATCCATCTACACTTTGCATCTTGATTGAAATCTATGGGTCAAAGCATCCACTTACCATCAGGTAGATTGAACACTTTTTGTCACCCTTTATCATCATCATCACAAGCCTGTGATAGTCCATGAACATGACCTTTTCTCGTTGTTGACGATCGCAGTAAGAAATGTCTCGCAACATTAACGCTGCTGCCCGTCCCTGGTCTGGATATTTTTAACCAACTCCAAAAAGGATGACGTACTCAATTCGTCTCTATGTTTTTTGTGTGTTACCTTATAACTATTTTGTACGTAAACCGATTTCGATGTTTATTTTTTTATTTGAAAGTTGGTGCTTCTCATGTTGTCCCATATATACTGCCGGCCAAAAGTTTAAGACCACACTTAAACAACATAATTATCTATAAATTGTAACGAAATACTATAAGATAAATAAAAGAAATGTGCACCTGCATATTCTTTTGTTAATATCGAATATCTAAAGAAGTCATTCTTTTATTTAATTTCAAGTTATTGGACAATAAACATGTATTGTATTCAAACACCGACAAACGCTGCGGTAGAGCCAGGTGGTAGAGTTGTAATAATATTTTTATGAAGGGTTAATAACTAATTGCTTTGCTTTTGTTTCCCATTGGACAATAATTAGGACTATTAGCTTCTAAAAACACATGTTACTGACGTTTTGTTCACAAACTATCTCAATTGTCTAAACTTGTGGTTTCTACAATTATGAAGACGTCTTAAAATGGGAAAATCACGCGAAATTAGCAGTGAAATGCGTCCTGCCATCGTTGTTTTACATAATGTAGGCAAATCCGAACGTGAGATTGCTTTACAATCGAAGTTATCAAAGACTTGTGTTCATGGCACATTAACTCGATATAGGGAGACAGGCACTTTTCAAGATCGTCCACGCTCGGGAAGGCCGAGAGCTACCACGTCAAATAAAAATCATTTCAGTATTGTTACCAGCAAGCGAAAAAGACGCTTAACAGCACCGGAAATCCGCGTTGACTACAGACTACATTGACTACAGCTAACAGCCTTTTTTATCATTGACTGTTAATGTTTCTTTACGCTTTTCAAGTATATTAATTGTCAAAAAGTGTTTTATTAGACGATTTAACAGTTTAATTAATAAAAACAGTTTAACATTTAATATTTTATTGGAGATTTATTTAATTTTCCTAATTTAATTAAGGTGGTCTTAAACTTTTGGCCTGCAGTGTAAATTTGATCAAGGTCTGATTAGTAGATTTTTTGTTATTCTTAATAATTTATATTGAAGGCGGTTATCCAAATTTTTTAATTTGACTACTTGGTTTTAGCGTGAACGTGAACGAGATAATTATACCACCATCCATTCGAAGCCAAAATATTTATCCAGCAATTCCCATAGTTGTTTCTTACTATACCGACTTAACGAAACGGGACGATGGACTCTCTTACGCCACAACCACACGGCAACTTTTTTGTTACCCTTACAAATAGATTATAACAATAAATATAGATTTTATAAAACCACTATAATGAAATGGCAGCTTAATACTTCCGTATTTCGAATTTTACACGCAAAGACCATTTTCACTAGAAGCGTGGCATTTCATCTTAGTGATCCGGTGTGACAACGCATCTGCATTTTTATTCATAACCGAAGATAGATGTAGATGTCTACGAGCCACAGCATCTGCTTATCATCAGGTGGACTGTGTGTTTGTTTGTCACCTTTATTCTATTAAAAAAAAAACCTGGAATATTTAATTATTTTCGCATCTCAACCAAAACTGCATATTATGCAGATTCAATAGCGGACAGCATAGACGCGGTAGCGGAAGACGAAGAGCAACTGGCAGATCAATTGAAGGAGTACCTGTTTTATGCCGGTGCACTGCAGCAGCTCTGCAGCAACCATGAAGCGCTGCAGAGGAATCTTGAGGTCGCTCACGATACGCTAAATAACAGGTACTTTTACTATTTCGATCGTAATAAATATTTTTTCAATAGAGTATGTATGTATAACATATTATATATGCTCCGCCTAGGGTTCCCAACCCTCCCGGATTGCCCGGAAGACTCCGGTAATAATGGTTAATCTCGCGACCTCCCGGGGTGCAATAATTTCTCCAGTTTTTTGTAAAAATGATGCGCATCCTTCGCTCGCACGTGTCGCTACTCACTCGCTTTCCGGTCACACAACACCGCGCGCCGCTGCCGGTGTAAATCCGTTCGTCTCGCCGTCGACGTTGCCGATTCGGCGGTGTCTGCCCGGTTTGTGAAGATTCGGAATACCAATCAATGAAAATGTTATCTCTAAAAGTACCAATCACATGGACAGGCATTACTAGACTCTACGAATTACTAGATATTGACTTGGATAGTGACAAACTGTATGATGAGGTTGGACTTTTGCGTGATATTCAACCACAGCTCGTTGCAGAAAATCGAGTGGATTTACGCTGTATTGGTTTATTTATTATATTATTATCTTTACGAAATGGTCAAATTTGTTCTTTCCATACCTGTCTCTAATGCTTCTTGCGAGCGCGTATTTAGCATGATGGAACAAGCATGGAGCAGGAAAGACAGGGAATGAGTATTTCTTTAGTAAAAGCAGAGTTACAAGTACTAACAAACTTCGATTTTTCATGTAAAACTCTTATGATTTTGTGTTGGATGCTGCTCGAAAGCAAAGTAAATATAAATTTAAAAATTAATAAATGATTGAGATTTTCTTTCAACCCAGCCCCCCCCCCCCCCCTATTCGCTTTCATAAAATTCTCCCGGGTTGGTCCTTTCGAGAATTGGTAACCCTAGCTCCGCCTCTTACACAGTCGAATTCACAATTGCGTAATAATCGCTTTAGGGTTGCGACTGTGTCGTTTAAAGCGGGACTGAAACGGTGCGTTGAAATGACGTTGCAGTGCTACACTGCAATGAGTTTTCCTCACGTTAGCTTCCATGCTCGACAACACAGTACGGTTTCTATGCAGCACCACAGCGGCGTATACTATAGTTGCAGCACAAATGGGTCAGCTCGGCCAGCGAAGGGCTGCACTCCGTCAAAATACCAGGGTAAAATAGCAACTTGCTGGTGTGTTTCGTATGGCGAGTGTAAGAGAGCTGGAGACCCATTTTTATTGATGTAGGTGAAGATGTCTATGGGCCTCAGCATCCACTTACCATCAGGTGGACGGTTTGAGCGTTTGTCGCCCTTATTCTATAAAAAAATATGAAAAATATGTTTTGATGCCTCGGCCACACACATCGCGATAGAGTTATCGCGATAAAACTTCACCTTCGGCCTAGTGCGAAGGTGCCTGGCCACACTCCGCGTTGTAAATTTTATCTAAACACACGCTAAAAATAAAATGAACGCCACGGTCGCTCTGTATTATATGGCAGCGAATAATTACTTTTTATTATTGTTTCAATTTTTAAAAAATAAGAAAAATATATAAATAATATCGCCTCGAACTCGTAATTACAATCCATGTCGGAAATACGTCGCAAACTCTAATTTACGCACGATATCTGTATGTAGACTGAAGTGTGGCCGCACACGCGAAGTCCATCGCGATAAAACCCTTTGAAGTGCGAGAATTTACCGACGGCAAAGCGATGTGCTTGAAACTTCGTACGAAGTGACGAAGAATTCACGAAGAGCCGGCCACATACATTGCGATAACGCGAATATTCGCGCTAGCGCGATGTGTGTGGCCGCGGCGTGACATATGTTTTACTACCAGGATAGCAGAACGCAACCGTGCGGCCGCCGGTAAATCGGGAATCATGTCCCGGCTGTTTGGAACCACGGACCCGGACATCGTACGCGACCAAAGTACTAGGGCGCTCGACGCCAAGATACTCGCTGACAAGGAGGCTATCGAGAAGGCGCAAAGGGAACTTGAGTAAGTATGAGGAAGTACTTGTGGTAGGATTTCTTTATAGTCTAGCTAAAGTACATCCATTTCTGTATTCCGGTTTCGAAGTTGTCAAGTGGTCGTTAGCGCCACTGCTCATCATTGACTGATTGACTGTTGGGCTGTTGATAGGCTCAAAAATAAAAAAAATAGTTATTATTTGCATCCCTGATTTGTTTCCCTCTATCACCTCTTACGACACTCTCACTACGATATGGGGCAGTGGATATTCTTGCCACTACCTACAGTTTCGTCTACCAATAATTTAATAAATACGCGGTCTGTATAAGAGGCAGTTGTTTTGGCTCAACGCTCACTTAACGGTCAGCCACCGTAGAGTCTACATCACCTGAGGATGCCTCGTGTAGAGACGAAACACGTGTCGTATTGTCGTCACTGGTGTGTCTTGCCTAGTGTAGTGGTGTTGGGAGTAGCGGTGCTAAGATTAGTGGTGACGAGGATAGTGCACGCAATTGAGGGAGGGCGGAAGGTGCTCTTCATACTAGGTAAGACATCATTTTATATTATTTTATAAAGGGGATGTTTGCGAAGTAACTTTTTAAAAGCCTTTATATAATGGATTTTCGCAAAGTAACGCCTGATTCTATTAATGAAATTTGATTATTTTTGTATGTGTGATAAACTTATCTTTACTACTATCACTTTTTATTATTACTACTTACTATATCTTATCTTTGTCACTTGTAAACCAATTTAAATGATACTTTTCTTTATTTAATAGGTTATACGTTGGCCATATAAAGTCACATACTTTGATTATATTGATTCCATGTATAATTTAATGTCAAAAAAAATCACCCTTCAGGGTGAATTCTTTTTAATAGGGAATGAAGTTATTAGTATACAGGTCGTGCTTGTGATTCTTTTTAATTCTTCAAAGTCTACTTTTCTTAAAAGGTTTAGTTTTTTGAAATATATTTTTAGGCAGAAACTTCCACTAAACATTTTTTTCTAGGCATTCAATTTAATGCCGGAGCTTACCCGTTTTTTGGAGTAAGTGTGACAAGGGAAATCACAGTTTTTGATGGGCCCATTTGGCCCAGGCCCATTGATACCTACATCTACCATAGATTAACAATTAAATTGCAGATATGTTGACATGCCTAAGGAAGAAGCTCTTAATTGATAATAGATAGAATACCTAGTCACCATTAGGTTGTCTATCTCGATTTTTACACTTAATTCCATAAATATTACACTTTAAAATCTCTTTTAACAGGGACTTCACCAAGAAAGCTTCAGTAGAAATCGATTACTTCCAAAAGCAAAAGGACAGGGACCTGCACGAATCACTCGTCGGTTTCATAACGCTCCAAGTGAAAGCTGCGAAAAAGGTAAAAGAATTTTAATTTAAAATGAATAGAGTAGCATTATGGCGGCGAAAGATAATCCTTTGGCTCATCCCATTTCGTGAAAGAGTAAAGGCTGTATCTTACTGGGCTGCCATGATAACATCGCCGGTAACATTTTTTTTATACCTATTATAAGCCAGTGCTTGACCACAATCCCACCTGGTGATAAGTGATGATGCAGCCTTAGATGGTAAATCGCACTGTCTTCTCGTAACAAAAGCCTATTCACTCTTGCCTTGAAGACGCCCAGATTGTATCACATATTCACGCATACATCTTTAAAACTTTTATTAAAAAAGACAGTGTGTGTCGTGAAGACACACGACAGAAGTGAAACTTATGTATTACATGGAAACATTTCACTTATTCAACAATGACTTTTGAATAGCATAGATTTTGTGTATCATTCATTTATTTACCTAAAATTATATACATGTGTGTCATAGTCCATCATCTTCTTCGATCTTAAGAAGAGAAATTATCGGTTAAGTTTGTTGATTAGGTTATTACCTCATTTTTATGTCATCATCATTACAGCCCTTCACAAGTCCACTGCTGGACATAGGCCTCCTCCAAGGAATGCCACAAAGCACGGTTCCGAGCCACCCGCATCCATCGACTTCCTGCATGTCTTACCAGGTCGTTACTCCTTCTAGTGGGGGGACGCCCGTACCGTGGACGGGTACGAGGCCGCCACTCGAGAACCATTTTTCCTCATCGGTTGTCGGCTCTTTGAGCTATATGACCGGCCCTTTGCCACTTCAACTTACTAATCCGTTGGGCTATGTCGGTCACTCTGGGTCTACTGCAGATATCATCATTTCTAAGCTTAACACGCAGAGAAACCCCGACCATAGCTCTCCATAGCTCGCTAAGCGACCTTGAGCTTCCTCATACGACCATCAGTGAAAGACCACGTCTCAGATCTACAAGTCAACACTGGCAACACTCACTGCTTGTACAATCTCGTTTTCAAGCTTTGAGGTATACGTGACGAGAAGATGTGTCATAATTTCCTGAACGCCGCCCACTATGAATATTTGTCCCAGGTAAACATACTCGTCAACAATTTTGAGCTTGGTGCTCCCAACAACTACCGGCATAGGTGTGACATGGACGTTACACATGGTCTTTGTTTTGTCCATGTTTATCTTAAGACCTATCCGTTGGGAGACACTATTGAGGTCATTGAGCATAGTGCTTAGGTCCTACAGCGATTCTGCCATAAGGACTATATCGTCGGCAAATCGAATGTGAGTGATGTATTCGCCATTGATGTTAATACCGTATCCTTTCCTGTCCAGTAGCTTGAAAACGTCTATCAATGCAGTGGTGAAGAGTTTCGGGGATATTACGTCACCCTGTCTTACACCTCTCTGCAGTTGGATAGATTTCGTATTCTTGTTCTATACTCGAACAGCCATCGTAGCCCTACTGTACAAACACTTCAGCACTTCACTGGACAGTCAATTTGGCACCGCAGAAGGGACTATAGCACCGCCCAAATTTCAACGAAATCAAAGGCTTTCTCATAGTCCACATACGCAAGACATAGTGGCAAATTGTACTCCTCGATCTTCTGTACAATTTGCCGAAGGGTATGTATGTGATCTATGGTGCTAAAGCCCTTTCGGAAACCGGCTTGTTCGGGAGGCTGGAAGTCTTAGAGTCTTCGTGCGAGACGATTCGTAATGACTTTCGAAAACAGCAAGTAGACGCGGCTCAGAAGGGAAATCGGTATGTAGTTCTTCAAGAAAGCATTGTCACCTTTCTTGAAGAACAAGACTTCTGCTCCACGCCTCCGGAGTAGTGCCACCATGACAGACGGAATTAAAGAGCTTCGGAGGTGGAATGCATCGTTTAAAGTAAAAGGGTCTTCGGTTCTCTACACTCACCATACGAAACACAACAGCATTAAGCTGCTATTTTACGCTGGTCGAGCCGACCCATTCGTGTTGCAACAACAAAATAGCTGCAGCAAGACTCTACCACGTAGTAATCAGTCGGTCAGTCAGTTGCCTGTATGCTGTCAAATCTGCTGAAGACTGCAGTTTCATTTTCCGTTTAATAGCCATAAGATTAAGAGTATGTCGGAGTTTTTGTGTTCTTCTGCGGCGGGTCTTGCAAATCTTAGCTCCGACCGCATGGACAGTTTCCACGAGCTTGTCATTTATATCGTCCACTGCATTGCAATCTTCTAGGCACTGAAAACGATTTTTTAATTCGAGCTGACAATTTTTGGGACATTGGATTAGATCACGAGGGGGACGGAGCGTTGACTTTATTAGACGTGACCTCTCCAACTTAACGTTTAGGTTCAGTGTGCATCTCACCATTCGGTGATTGCTTTCTCACCCTCGCGATCACTGAGACATCACTGAACAGTTGTCGTCTATTGGTCATTATGAAGTCAATCTCATTTTTTGTCGAACCGTCGGGCTCGACCAGGTCCACTTCCAGAGGGGCCGCTTCTGGAAGAAAGGATTCATTGTAAAGAGTCCCTCTTTCTCCATGAAGTCGGCCAGCTGCTGGCCTCTTGGGTTCCGTTGCCCTATTCCAAATTTTCCTACTTTTAGCTTACCGTTCTTGCTTGTGCCTAGTTTTGCGAGAAGTCTTCCATTAACACCGTGTAGTGGGTTTTGGAGTAGTGGATGGCTCTATCCTATACATATATCTATCCTCATACATTTCCTCCACCTTCTCATCTGGGTGTGCCGAGGTTGGTGCGTAAACCTGTATGATCTTTAGCGAATACCGTTTGGTGATTCTGAGTAAAATACGACACCTCCTTGGGACAGATGGTCGCCCTCCTGGTGAAGAACAAGTTGCAGGATTGGAGTATTACCGTGTCCTCCCCCTCTCTTCCGACCTCGGATAATCCTATAATATTCCAAGGCAACTTGTCTATCTCATCTTCCAGCTCCAGGATCTTCTCGCCAGTCCTAGGGATGCGTGTGTTGTATGTTGCCAGGTCGAGTCGTTTTAAGTGGCAACCGAACCTCCACCGGAGATTCTTAACACCCCTTGCCCCGTCGTTACCATGTACGACATAGTCTGTTTACCGTTATATTCGAACAAAAGTTCACTGCTGAACATGGGTCCTCCCTATAGATTGCTGCATAGAGGGAATATTTTCCATAATAGCCACGCTTGTCAGGTTGGTTGCATTAAGTGCTTACTTTTTTTTTATAGGATAGGGTGACAAACGAGCACCAGTCCACCTGATGGTAAGTAGTTGCTGTGGCCCATAGACATCTACATTTATCCTCGTTTGCGAATCAAAATGCAGATGCGTTGTAACCCGTGAGGACTAAGATGGAATGCCTCTTTTCCAGTAAAAAGGGTCTCCGGTTCTCTACACTCACCGTACGAAACACAGCATTATTAAACTGCTATTTAACGCTGGTATTCTGTGAGAGCGTGGTCCTTCCCCGGTCGAGCCGACCCATTCGTGCTACAACTATACTACTAATATAGCTGCAGTATGGCTCTACCACGTATAAAACTTACTACTCAAAAATCATTATTAGTGATGTTTATAACCCACCTGACCTTATGTTTAAAACAGAAATATAAAAACGACACCTTAAAAAAGTTTACATATGGAATTAGAGCTTTGTATAAAACATCCATTTTATATATTTTATTTCCATAGTTATATATTTAAAAGTATTTTTATCGTTATTTTGTTCGCCACACAGAAGTGAAGTCAAACGAAAGTCGGTGAAATGTCGTACGGCAACCTTAACAATTCTGCATAACGTCGTGTGAGACAGGCCTTAAACAAAACGTTTTATACGTTGTGTTTTAAATATAAATTAATACATAGAAAATTGGTAAAATAAGTTTTAGCGGGAACATGACCGCCGGCGAATTTTTCTCCTGTTTTATCGTTTAAATAATCATCTTAAATGGATTTTAATATGTAAAAGTGATAGGATTTTGTGTTTTAGTCTTTTCAGACTAAAACACAAAATCGTGAGAACTATTGTGAAAACGTCAAATTTTCATACGTGGTAGAACCATTCTACAGCTATATTAGTAATATAGTTGTAGCACGAATAGGTCGGCTCGACTGGGGTAGGACCACGCTCTCACAGATTACCAGCATAAAATAGCAGCTTAACACTGCTGTGTTTCGTATGGTGAGTGTAGAGAACCGGAGACCCTTTTTACTGGAAGAGGGGCATTCCATCTTAGTCCTCACGGGTGACAACGCATTTGCATTTTGATTCGCAAACGAGGATAGATGTAGATGTCTATGGGCCACAGCAACCATTTACCATCAAGTGGACTGTGCTCTCGTTTGTCACCCTATCCAATAAAAAAATCAAATGTTCCGATGTTGACAAAATTTTGAAGTAATTTTGTTCGCTTAGACGCTTTCAGAAATTGAGAACATGTCGTCATTATCTATCCGCGGCGTTAAGCTGTCGTGAATTCTTCCAAAACCTTCGCAATGTGACTCATCACCATATTGTGAAGAAGTTTCAAAAAATATTTTAGATCATTTCTTGTTACTTGACACCGGCAAAAGTGTAACCGTACGAAGCTATAACCAAAGTAATAAAAGATAACATATTTATTATTTTTCAGAACTTGCAAGCATGGACGCAAATCAAGGAGTGCATTCAAAATATGCCTTGAAGACAGCCGCAGCCTAGGGACGCTTTATACCAAATTTTTCCTACAAATTACACCAATATAATTGTAAGCGCATTAGATTTTTTATAAATAAATATTATATAAGTAGGTATCATTATTAAATTTTCGTCGAGATATAGGAATTGATATTGAACAAAGTATCTGACTTTAGCATAACAAAGCCCAGAAAATGTATTTGTACACTTGAGAAAAACGCTTTTTGTTCATAACATTTAGAGACAAATAACTTACTAAACAATTTAAAAACTCTTTCGTAAGTATATTTCAATTTTATACTTTTTGTATTATTTATAATGATTTTGTTCCATAATGTTAGTCAAATATGGATCTCTAAATACCATGCCACGTTTTTCATTAATCACTGAAGTGACAACCAAACTTATAGTCTATCTAATGATACGTGGCTATAAAAGAAGGCTAAAGATGCGTTGTCACTTTTAGGGAGGGGCAAATGAAAAGAAATCGATATATATCGATATATCGTCATGTTTTGCATGATGTAAAAGAATAAGGCCCAAAATTTTATTACTGGGCGGTTTTTTCATTCATTCATTCATTACAGCCCTTCACAAGTCCACTGCTGAACATAGGCCTCCCCCAAGGAATGCCACAAAGCACGGTCTCGAGCCACCTCCATCCATTGACTTCTTGCTTGTCTTACCAGGTGGTCACTCCATCTAGTGGGGGGACGCCCTGCACTTTGCCTGCCGGTGCGAGGCTGTCACTCGAGAACTCGGTTTACTGGACAGTTGGACGACGATAAACATTCTAAAATATATCGAGATTGATACGAATCCGATACCCTAAAATGAAATTGCATGTCGATATATCGCGATTATAAATATGGGCGATATTTTTATGATAAATATCGATATATCGATATTTTCACCCAAGCCAAGTCACCTTTGAGGACTAAGATGGAATGCCTCACAGCCTGTAATTCTACTGGCTCTCTATCCTCTTCAGAAAGAGACACAGCAGTGCAAACACTACTATTTGGCGGCATAAATAATTAAGAGAGTGGTACCTACCAAGACGTACTTCTAAGCAGAAAAAAAAGAGTTCTACTACCTCGTATAAAGTCGTTTGACTTTACTCGATACGTGTAGTGGCGGTGTAAGAATATCCACTACCCCATATCATCCGGTGGGTGTTGTAAAAGGCGACAGAGGGAACTGAAGGCGGAATCGGGAGATGGGAATAAAAAACTGCGGTTGCCAATCCGATTGCCAAGCGTAGCAACTATGACAAATATCCCCCCTATGAGGCAATCTGTGGTGGAGGCCTATGTGTTTAAATGTGGACTTTAATAAGCTGTGATAGTAACGGTTACACAGATCTATTGAAATTAACTTTTCAAACAATATTTTTTTCATCTGGCAACAAAAAAAGATTATGTTTAAGTTCTTTGTATCTATATTTTTAAAGGAGATTTAGGGATTTGTAAGAAACTGTAGAATTCGTTTTCAACGTATGTTGATCTGTTACAAGAAGCTGTGCAATAATATTACTAATTAGTTATATTAATATATTTGCACGAGTGCCTACTACACTATATAGAACAAATGGTTTTTTTCTCAACTGTACATGTTTGTATATAATAATTTTAATACCCTACTGTACTGTACAGGTGCCCTACTGTAATTATAGGTTATCAAATTGATCTAACAAATTAGGGTGATTTCACTGTCGTTTCATAATTTAAATATTTCCGTCTTTGGTTTGAATATTGTAATTTTCGTAGTTTCATCGCATAAAAACAAAGGTATTATAATAATGATCTCGAGCTTTAAAAACAAAGCATTTAATTGAATAAATACTAACGTAATTCCCAATTCTTGTAGCGCGTTTTCTTATGGCGACGGGTTAAACAACTAAATACATGGCAATATAGACTGAGTTTTTCAACGCAATCCTTCAACTGAAGTAGAAGTTACATGCGACTTTGTTCAAAAAACAACGAATCGGCCATGTTTCACTAAGTTGTTTAATATTAAGAATTTTCACAATTACTTGCAATTAAAACATTACCCATCATTTTTACATGAATTGAATTTAAATGCTTCACGACCAAAGTCGTCTAAAGCCAACCCGTATTAGAGCACCACAGGGCTTAAATTTTGTTTATATAGATGTTTGTGACTCGAAGCAATGTTGTCAAAATGTTTGGTACAATTAATTTTCATCGTAAGTATCACCTAGAGAACATAATATTTAATGATTTTTAAAATATATAGTAATATAGTTATTATATTGGTTAAACGTTTTTGATTTTATTCGATATTATTTAATCTTTTTAAAATTAGTTAGTTACACATTATATATTTAAAATACACATTTAAATGTTTATAATAAATTCAATATTATATTGTCCTTAGGTTAGAACTCCATAATAGGCTGAAGTAAGCCACGTAAGCCGATCTGAAGGCAATAGTTGTTTAATATTTACGTCTCATTTTATTCATCGCCTATGGAACATTAACCTTCAAAAATATATGACGTCTAAAACATGTGCGTCGACTGAATGTAGTCATAGCCTTATTGTAATATTTTTTAAACGGTAGCTGGCAGTCAGAAACCGAATATTTTTAAGAAAAATTTAGGCAAGACCTATGTCAGTTCCAAAATACGTTGATTATTTCATATATATATATATATATATATTTACGAAGTACTACATTATATATATATATATATATATATATATATATATATATATATATATAATGTAGTACTTCGTAAATATATAGCAATCACAATAATATATAATAGATATTTTTATTATTATTTTAATGAAATACCTACATAAAGGTGCCTACTCACCATAAGCTAGATGCATGAATAATATCAGAAACTTAGGCTATTTTTATTTTTAACCGGCTACAAAATAGAATTGACCCAATCGATCAATTCACCCGAATTTTTTGTGTTACCTTGAACTTTTTTCTAGGTGAACCGATTTTAATGATTCTTTTTTTATTTAAAAGCTGAAAGCAAGATCTGGCCAGTAGTTTTTGAGTTATCCTTAATAATGCGTATTTAATTGAGTTCGACTACACTGATGATGTTCTCATTTTATTTATATTGAAGTCGGTTGTACAACATTTTTAATTTCACCACTTGTATTATTGAACAATCTATTTCCCGAAATTTCCTCGAGCTACTCAGAGGGATTCCCCGGCAGAAAAAGAAGTCCTACCACCTACTAAAATAATATATATGTCGCAGGTTTATGACAAAACCTCAAGATGTCAAACCAAATGATCAAGAACCGAAAGAACACAAAATTACTACTAAGTTATTATAAACCTGATAAAATCCAGTTTTCTTATCAAAAGCCTAGACTGATATGTTTTATAATAAAATAAATGTCGGTTGCTATTTTTTTTAAATAAATAAAACAATTAGATAACCTAACCTAAGCTTAGCTTAAATTTTATCATAAATCTACAAAAATTCAGGTTTTTGATCAAAAAACAGGATTTTTTCAGGTTAATTATAAGATTAAGTAATAATTTTGTCGTCTTCCAGTTCTTGATCAAAAGCCTAGGTTTTTGATTAATAAACCAGATTTTACCATAAACCTGCGACATATACGATACAGTCTAGATTATGCTGCATCAGCTTTGGTGCGTTGACACCTTTATTCGAAAATTTTCTTTTGTCGTGCACAACAATATCTCACAAGAATTAATAAAAGTTATTTTACACAAATTAAATATTAATTATGTTAATATTTTTGTACTCCTTTAAGATTCTCGTATATACGCCTGTTTTTGTTATATTGTATAGATTTTGTAATACAAATAAATTGAAATTGAGAGAGAAGTAGACGCTTTGAAAAGCCAAAGCAATTAGAATTAATGCTCTGTAAATAGGCTTTACTCACCATGGGTTTTTATGTAATCGATCAAAAACCATTTTGTATCGAGACATTTGATTTGTATCGTTCACAACACTCAGCTGTGATTTGAAGACCAACTTGGTGTGTTCTGTATTGTAAATTAATAATTATACAAGTGATAACATTTTATTTTCCTGTGTATATTTTTGTTCAGTTAAGATTTATTTCTGTTGATTATGTTTAAAAATAGTAATTTTTAAATAAAGTACCAAATTTTTACACGCATCATTTGAATTTTCTTCTGTATTTCATAAATTCTCTACATCCAGTAAAAGCTACTTAGGCCAGAAAGATAGACTCTTCCAAGTGCTCGTTTTCTGGACCCCATGACCACCTCGTAATTAATTTGAGAGAGCTCCATTGCATAGCTGAATGTGAAGGCCGTGTAGCTGTCTACAAGAGGGGCCGCCAGCGTAATGCCTGCTTATGTTTGCGAGAATGTTCCCGTCATCCTGCTTATGTCGATTAAAGCAGGACACCATGCGGTTTTGTTCGTGTTATTGGTTACGTTTATATGGTGTCCCATGCGATTTTATTCGTAGAAAGTATGACATAACCCCTCAATGTCATCACAAGACGGCTCATGGAACATGTATCGTCATTTTTGCACAGTTATTAACTCCAGTGGAAATTCGATTCTATTCTATTTATAACATTATTTTAGGACCACGTAAACAAAATCGCGAGCACAGCTTATAAAAGACTTAAATTTTATTCTCAAGTTATCTTTTTACGATTCGATCATAAAACGCTAATATTTCTCATCTAAACTTACATAAATAAGAAAAAAGAAACTTTATTATATACTAGCTGTTCCCCGCGACTTCGCCCGCGTGTAATTTATTACGATTGGATTTTATAAGTTTTAAATTTTGCGCGGAACCCTAATTCTTTTTCTAAAATAAAAGTAGCCTATGTTACTACTTATAACATAAGCTATCGGCCAGTGAAAATCCCGTTAAAATCGGTCTAGCCATTTCGGAGATTAGCCGGTACAAACAGGCAGACAAAAATTTAAAAAATTGTGTTTTTGTTATAAGTATACTGTTCCCATCTCTGGGCTGGGGCTCCCCAGTGC